TTTTTTTTTTTTTTTTTTTTTTTTTTTTTTTTTTTTTTTTTTTTTTTTTTTTTTTTTGTAAAATGAAATTGAATAATTATTACTTGAAAAATGTAAAATGTGTTTCAGTTTAATTATAATTTCTTCACAGAAGTAATTAAGTAAACTATAGATAATAAAGGTGATAACAATATGTACAAAATATTGTATTTATTTAAAACTAATTATCAGTGCAGCTTTAATTTTTCTATAATTTTTAACAATTTTTAATACATTTTTTTAAACTTAAGCTTTCTCTTGTTATGTCATGGGATGATATAATATTAATTTTAATATTTCATTCAGTCTCTATACAGAATTGTTAAGCAATGGGATCTTGGAACCTTTACAAAAAGTTGTTGAAGGGTTACGGATGACGCCCTCTACTGTTGGAAATTTTGTCGCTCCCAACGGAACTGGTTCAATTGTTAAATATTTTTTGCAAAAGTCAGGTAGATACTAGGTTTTGCATTTCAGTTTTTTTCTACTTAATATATTAAACAAGTATTATAAAATCATAAATTTAGAATATTTAACTTTGTTTGTTATAGAGCAATAAGCTTTTAGCATCAAGAATGATTTGTTTTGATTTTATTAACATAAAAGTTGAATACCTACGTAAGATTACTATAAAATTTTAAGTACACTCTATCCATATCTGTTGATTTTTATTGGAACAATTTCGATTCTTGTTTTTCACTCTTAAATTTCTCTAACATTGTTATAAACCCATGTTATTTCAAAAACATCAATCTTTAATTTTTTGTAAATGAAATAATTAGCTAATATCCAGATAACGTAGTTAATACCTAGATTGAATTTTAATTATTTTCTTTTAAACTTTCGAGGGTATATGAAATTTGCGAAATAGTGCACTCATTGATGTTCAAAAAGAGGTTAAAAGCTTGATTACCCTAATGTTAATCTTAGGTTTTAAAATTTTTATCACAGCTTTTGAATTTAATCATCATATAAAAAAAATTGTGTGTGATTATAAAAATTTTTAATTCAATAATGCAAAAAAATTAGTTTTATGAATTGTGCATTTTTTAATTTAAAAATAACCGAAATTGTAGTCATTATGTTTTAAAATAATAAGTGAAAAAATTTTAAAAATTACTTAATAAATGTTTTGGAAAAATTACTCAAATGGATTATTTTTTCAGAAAAATTATTGATGGATTTTCAATTATTGTTATTTGAATGATTTTCGATTATTGAAAATATGGCTTTGTTTTGATAAAAAAGAAGGATTTTTATATAAAATAATAAACTTTTTAAGTTGTCAGTTCTGTCTATTCTATCAATTACTTAAAAAAAGTATTTTGGAATATAAATTTATCTAGATTAACAGGATGTAAATTTTTTTATTCACTAACTTATTATCTCATTATTACTATTTTAAATCTTTATAGATATTTTGTTTTATTTTTCACAAATAATTTATTTATTTCAGTCAAAATTTGTCATTTAAGATGTTTCCCATTACAAAACTGTTAAAAAAAAATTTGCAGTTGTCTTAAACTTAACAGTTTTTATACATGGATTTTTTATTATTGGAATTACCGTCATAAAATTTGCTTTTACTCTTCCTAAAGTAATTAAAGCATCATCTTAATAACTTTAAGAGTAAAAATAACATTTTGAGATCTAAACTTTTGACCTGCTCGATTAATAATCTTGGATACATTTTTCTAGATTTCCGTAACACTTGGGTATATATTGAAAAACTCACAACAAAGAAATGTATCAGAGTACCTAAATTTTGTCTGCACTAATTAAATATATCAAAGATATGTCCTTCAAATCATTAAAATTGCATCTCAGTATACAAAATTCTTACTTTTAATTTAAGTTATTCAAGTCATTTTATTTTTCTGTTGACTGTTTCTTTTATTTTATTTTTACTTAGTCAAAGTTAAACTATGAATTTCCTTAAAATTGTTCTTTTCTTTTGTTTTTAAGATTTAGATTAGTTTTTGATACATTTTAAATATATGATTATTTATTCATGAAAATGTATCCTATTTATCGGTGGCTGAGCTTCCTTTAAGTTGTGTAACAGTTTACCAATTTCTATATAATTATTGATGCTAATATTTTTTCAATTATTAAAAAAATATGGTTTTATTACTGTTACAAGTTGTTTGACATTGTGTATTAAAATTTTTCTAGGTTGTGAAGCACTTTTCAAACATCGAGTAATTAAAGTAAATTCTTCAAATAAAAAATGGATTTTGGAATATGATAATGGATCAAGTCATGAATTTGATGCAGTAGTTTTGACTATACCGATTCCTCAAATTTTGCAGCTAAATGGACTATCTAACCTACTTCAGGGTAAAAAATATTATGATATTTACGTCAATTTACATTTAAAAGAAAAGGGATTGTTTATCTTTTATTAATAAAGTAATCAAAGGATATCTCATAACAATATCCTTTGAATTGATATTGTGTTGTAAATGCAGATATACCTCAAGATTATAAAATAGCTTTTCCATTGCTGGCGTCTATAACTCAGGTTCACAGGTGCCCATCAGATAACATTAAATGAGCAGCACTTCTGGCACCTTCCATTACAAAGAACATACTAGTTCAGTGCCAGTCATTAGAAGAAAAGATAAAATAGCTTTTCCAGCTTCTAAACATCTTGCAATCATAATGCTTGGCAGGATGAAATAAAATTTTGTAGCTCTTTGTATAAGGTACAGGCTCAAGAATAGTGTTAAAAATATAGGAAATTATTCAACTCTCATAGTTACAGAGACAAGAGTTTAAAAATTCCCGGTTACACCATTGATGCAAAAAAAAGTTCACAGATGCAAAAAATATTTCACCTATTTTCTTCTTTTTGCATTTAAAGGTGATCTTACCCGTAAAGAACTTAAAATGGAGTTGGAGCATTATTTTTAGAATGAAAAACATAGTACAAAACATCATGTTTCGGAGGAAAAAATTAGGGGTTATTTTTTTGAAATTTTGTCATAACAACTGTAAAAGCGTGATGATCGTTTTTAACATCATTGAGACTTTATATCCTAATGCAGAATTTTATAATGGCATCATCATAGTTGGCCAGACAGCCCAATGTGAGCCAATACCTTCCTCTGAAGATTTCTCCACGACTTCTGATNAAAAGAAGAATTTGAATTTTATGCTTAATTTCATCTCTTTAATAATTTTTGTTTCATGTTTTCATAGATTATTACCCAAAATTGGAGGCTGTTGAGTACTGCTCCAGATTTGCACTTGGATTATTCTATGATACAGAATGTGACTTTTCTGTAAAATTTCCTGATTCTGCTAAATTTTTTCCTAATGATCCAGTGATAGCTTATTACTCCATTAATCATCAAAACCAAAGTAAGCTGTTTAAATGTTTTATCAACACATCTGTTAGTTGTTTTCTTAATTACTAAAATATGGTAAAGTCTGTAAGATTAATTTTATTAAGGATCTCTAATCATATAGATTTCTAATCATATAGATTTTAGCCTCATAGGAATATAAATATTGAAATGTTTTCCTATAAATAGAATGACAGCATTGGCCACTATAGCCCCTAAGGAATTTTGCAATATTATGCAAAAATTCACTGGTTTCTCAGAATCGCTGTAGCAAGTCTTTAAAATACTAAATTACAATTAAAGATATATCTGACCTAAATATGTTCATTTTAAATTTAAAAAAACTGAACAGACAGAAGAAAGTTAGTCACAACAATAATATTTTTCAATTAGGTTAAGACCCCCAAGCTTAAAACAGCAGAGCTAAACGTAAACAGATACGACAACACTCTCAAAGAGAGAATTAAATGAAAGATACAGTAAAAGAAATTGTACATGGTACACGTGGCTTAATTGTGGCATGGCAAGCATGTTTCTAAAGAAGTACAATAAATTGAGTGTGTTGTCGTATCCGTTTACATTTAGCTCTGCTGTTTTAAGTTTGGAGCTATCGACCTAATTGATAATATCATTACTGTGACTAAGTTTATTCTTTCTGAACCTTTTTTTTTTTAATTTAAAATGTACGCATTTATATCATACATCTTCAATTATAATTTAGTATTTTAAAGTAGTGTTGCAGCAATTCCGAGAAACCAGTGAATTTTTACGTAATATTGAAAAATTTCTTAGAGGTCATAGTGGCCAATGCCGTCATTCTATTTATAGGAATAAGTTTCAATATTTTGTTATGAAAACTGTAAAAAAATATAGGTTAATGTTATAAATCTTCAGCTTCAATGATTGAAAAAAAAGAGTATTTCTTATTATAATCTATAATTATTGTTTATAAATAGTAGAGACACAGTTATAGTTTGTCTAAGCTAACAACTCCTCCAGCCACAAAGTCTGAGGCTGCCTGATGCTATGCAATCACGACTGGTGCATTTTAGGGAGGGTAGCTACACTCGAGGACTAACACAATAGGCCAGAGTGATTCCTTTTCTCTCACCGATCCGAGCCAGAACCACTCCAAACTGGCCCCGCACCGCCACTTTAAATAGTCATACCTCGTTACCATAGTCACCGCCACAGGTCCAGACGGACGTCTGGGGGAGTTCTTATTTTAGACAAACTATATCTGAACAACGAAAACATAAATAAAATTGAATAAGTCATAATGCTTCTATTAATCAGAAATTTTTATTATCCTAATAGGAAAAAAATATCACATGATGTTTTAAGGAGCAAACATTTTTAAATATATTTTAGATCTTTACTCTAAAAACTCTAGGATGGGAAAATTTCGTTGGGCACAGTAATTATCTTCCTAACTTCGCTTGCACAATAGGCTCCTGTAGAAACTAACTTCGCTGCCCTCCTGTAGAAAGATAGATCATAATAAGTTTAAGAGAAAATTAATAATTTTTTTATAAAAAAATAAATTATGTCGGAACTAAATGTGGATATAATCTACATACTAAAGAATAAATGTAGACAAAAATGAATTAAATGTAATACATTGTGATATAGAAACAAAAATCATAAGTATCAGTAACTAAACCATTACTTAAAGTAAATGGACATTTAAAAGCACTTTAGTTTCTGCAATAAATGAAATGAAAAACAATGCTTTCATTGCAATTTGATAAATAAGGGGAAAAAAATTCCAATCAAGAATGTTAATAAGTTTATGTTGAGCATAATTTTCCAATTAACCATTCGGACATATTAAGAAAAAAATTTTGATAGCAAAATGCTAAGTTTCTTTTTCATATGACAACTAAAAGACTTAAATCTGAACAATGAGTAAATAGTGGACAGTTCCTAAATCTGAACTATCGTATGTTTTCGATTTTTAAGAATTATAAGTTTTATCATTATTAAAAACAATAAATTTCCAAAATGACTAAATTTTGAAGTGTATCAAAACTTAACTATCGAAAATAACTCCTGAATTAAATTAATATTATCACAACTTGATTGACTACAATCTGAAAATCGAGTGCAATAGAACTTCATATTTTTAGGTAATGAAAACATTTGACATTGAATAGGTCTAGTTTTTCTTCTTTTCAGGGAAAGAAATTTAAAAGAAAATTCAAATGATTCTTTTAAAATCGCTTGTTTGTAAAAATGGTATGTTCTGAACAAACGAAATCAGAAATAACAGGACAAATAAGGACAGAATATTTTATATATGGATAACTACAAATCCCGCCTCTTATGTATACTATTGTCAACAACATAAAAACATATCTTAAACTATAACAGTTTTATTTATTATCATTTTATATTTTAAATTCACAAATTTGATAGACTACTAGTTTATTTAAGATAAATAATTTCTACACATGAAGATTTCTATAGAAAGAGATTTCTCTTCTTCAAATAGATTTCTTATCCGTATATTAATTTAGACTGATATATACAATGATTTTCTGCTGATATATATTTTTCATTGTATATTATTTTATTCTAACAATGTTAACTTTTTTATAACAAATTTATGTTATTCAAATCTGAAATACTCCTTATCAGCACTTAAACCCAATTCTAAATCCAATCTGATTCTATTTAAATTCTAGAAACTAAAATGAGAAATTGTTTGCATAAAATTAACAACATGCAATTACTTGGTTATGAGTCTTACCCCTATTTAATTGTTATCCTTATAAGAAGATTCTTTAAAATATACATAGCATGTGCTAGTTATAAATTATAGATTTGTTTTAATCCTAATTTTGTAATTTTCTTTGCAAACTTGTATTTCTTGTTGGTTAATTTTCCAGCTGCAAAGACCACCATAGTAGTTCATTCAACTAAAGAATTCGGGAAGTCTAATATTGAGCAAGAGTCTGAAATTGTTCAGAATTTAATTATGGATCGTCTAACAGAATTGATGCCAGGATTGCCAAACCCTTCAGAAATAAAGTTTCATAAATGGAGATACTCACAAGTAAAGTTTGCTTTGTGTTAAACCTGTTATAACCAAGTTATTTTTTTAGATAAGAATTCAGTTAGTCAGTAAACAATTACATCATTCATCAATTGATGATCAACTTCATCTTCTCTCAAATGTAGAGAAAATTCTTGTTCCTTAACAACTAACTCTAGATTGTGGTAGGAGGAGTATTTAAGGCAGACTGGCTTCATCTCTTATACACCTAAATAGATGCATATCTTTAAGGGGGGAAAACATGCTTTGCTGAACTAAATTGAAAAATGCAACACTTTACTTTTGTGATGAACCCTTATGACAAATGATAGTCCCCCTATGCTCGAAGTTTGCATTTGCCTTGAAAGTTTTTGCACCTTATAAGTGGGGTTTGTTGATTTAAATCAGCTTGTTTTCAATCAAATGATTTTTTTTATTTATAGAAACCAATGAAATTTTCAAATTATTTTAAGATAAGACTGTTTTAAATTTTATTGATTTTAATAGTTTTAAAATTTACTGTAAATATATTGCTATGTAATAAGTTCAATGGACAAAATTGCAATGGTAATTTAGTGTGAAATGAATTACACTATATTTAAATAACATTTGTCGTTTCAAAAACCATTCTTGTAGATTTTTCAAAATACAAACCATATGAACAAAGTATAAATTTCTTGCAATAATTTTTAATTAAAAGAATTAATTTTGATTAATTTTTTAAAGCATATTTTTCAATAGTAAATTATGACACATCCCCATTCCATTCTTAATAAATTTCAGTCATACATTTGCATACAAATCTTAATGCTAGTTTGAAATTCATTTTTTAATAATTTTACTTGTTATATACAGTAGAACACATTTATCTTGAATTTCTCATAACATAAACTAATTTTCTATTCCCTGTCAAATTGTGTACGGATATATTTTACACGCGAAATATCTTTTAAGGTGAACTCGAATTTCAGTTAGTACTTCGAAAAAATTTTTACTTTTAATCTGAACAGAAAATTTATTTCTCCTTTAACAGGTAATAGAAAACTGATCAAACACAGTTCTATATCTATAAGGGTAGGTTTTTTGAATGCTTTGTTATAATGCTGATAACTGCAAGATTACAGCAGTCAAATGAAAGAGTTGTATGAATGTGTTGAGAGGGTGGGGGCATTACAGTAAACAACATAAGCCCTTTTGTACTCTAAATAAGAATAGAGTTTTCTTCCACCAGATGGGTGTGAATTTAAAGAAGCATGTTTTCCCGAGGAATGACCATCTATATTATTAATCCTTTGTTCAACATGAGTAGTCATTTCTCTCACACAGCCTGTTATATTAAATTGATTTTACTGAATTATATTTTTACAGATGAAGAGGTATGGAACTAAAATTTTCTTAAATTTCACTGGCGAATACTTTGGTTTAAATATCTCTGATAGATGCTTAGTAAACAAAGAAAACTGTCTGTTCTTTTGAAATGCAAATACTTTTAGATACAGTTGTCAAGGTAAGGTGACTTTTAGAAAGCATGTATAAATAAAAAACCAAAACAAAGAGCTATTATCAGTCATTTTGTGAGTTTTCCTCACTAATTAGTGCAATAATTCACTTAACTTTTCTTAGTTAGTTTTCAGTAATTTTTTTCTTTTCTTCTGCAGAATTTAAAAATAAAAATTTAATAGAGCATCGAATGCAAGTAATACTCTTTTTGAATTTCGTCCTAACTATTTTTTTCCTTCCGCAGAATTTAAAAAAAAAAAAAAATTTATAGAGCATCGAACGCAAGTACTCTTTTTGAATTTTGCCCAAACTATTTTTTTTCTTCTTTAAAACTTTTTTTTTTTTAAGAAATGGTTGTATTAATTAAGAAGTTATTAATTAAAAATAAACTGCAAAATAAAAACATTTATTGAAATGAAATATATATTTACGTATACATATAATAGAAAATATCTGTGTATTGTTCAATTTTCAATAAAAAAATTTCTGTCCCCCTTCAAGCTGATGTTAACAAGGCTTGACTGTACTGTTCTTTAACAGGGTATATAGCCAAATTTTTCTATAAAAATAAGCACTAAAAATGTTTTATTTTGTATTGTTACTATTGCATAAAATTAACAAAATGCAAAATTATTTTAAATGACTTATCAACATGATAAATAGTGTTGGCTCATTAGATTTTTCAAATTAATTACTTTATTCAATTATATGAAAATTAGATCAACTTATAAAAGGGATTAACAATTAGTAAAACTTAGAAAATCAAATTTTGGAAAATTGAGCACTTTTTTACAGAGACCCATTGGAATAAAGCACCCTTACAAAAAGCTATGCAAGAACTTATAAAAAGTCAGATTTAAATTAAATAAGTTTATTTTTTTAAAATTATACTGAAATTACCATATCCCAAAAATAAAAGAAACTGAAAAGCAGGCTTCACTCTTTTGATCATGACAGATGAGGTAACTTGTCTTTCAAGAATATTTGCTGTGCTGTTATTTTTTCACGTAAAATAAACAAGAATGAATTAGTATTTTGTTTCAATTTTAGCGCCGCTTAACGCTTTATTCACAGGATTGACCTAAGGTGCATAAATTTAATCATCTACCATTATAATCAACTTTATAAGTATGGCAGCCTGTCCCAGAACTAAAGTGCACCCACAGATTTTGCATTGAATTTAGATATACTAATAAATCACTTAATAAAAAACAGTTAAATCAACTCATACTCGTAATTCTAGTGTCATCATAGACCTGAAAATTCAGATTTTTAGTTAGTAACCACTTTTTTCTCGAACTTAATTAGTTGGTGACCAATACCGTTAAGTCCCTTCCATTTAATAGCCACTTCGCTGACTTTTTTTTTGCTTGAATTAGTTAATAATTATAATACACACTAAGACTTTAAAAAGTTAATTCAACAAAAATATAAATAAATGTGACAAAATTTAGTTTAACTTAATTTAAAAGAACTTTTTGCATTGATGCAATTTAGGAAAAAAATGGCAGACTGCTTATTTAAGTTGCCATTTTTTTTTGTCAACTAGGCAATGGCCAGGGGTGATCGTGCTCCGGAAAAAATCTAGATTTCCGCTAACAGTGATCTGGAAGTTTCCGGAGATCAAAGGTCCAGATGTTTCAAAATATCATTTATCACAGAAGTTTCCGGAAATCAAATTTTCAAAGGTGGAACTTAAAAACACTATTTTATTTGTTTGTAAGGGAGAGCCAGAGAGATACTTTATAAGCTTATATTCATGATTAATATTCATTTTTTATCAGTAAATATTTGTTATAATCATAAACCCAAGAAAGAAAGACATATTTGTAAATTTTAATTACTTTTCCAGGTCATCATAGGTATGTGTAAAATTTTAAATATATTTTAAGTAAACTAAGAAATATAGGGAAAAAACCTTGTTTAAATGTTTTTTCAATTTAAACTGTTTTTTTTTTTTTTTTTTTTAACTCAAGAAATTTTCCAGAATTTTGACTTGGGCTCACAATCACCCCTGGATCTTCAGGTCTATATGATAGCATATTGAAAATATGAGTGTATCATAAAAATCTTTGAGGAAAAGGCCGAAAAAAGTATTCAACGTCAAGTTACAATAACCATGTAAAATGAGCTGAAAAAACTATCATTCAATGACTTGAAATCAGAATGGAAACGTCTCGAATTGCATGCACTATAAAGTCTAAATTGCCGCATCGCATTAAAAATATCTAAATTTGTAAAACCATGAGAAGGAAATTGATAGCTGCTGAAAATTAGCATTCAGCGACAATATAATCATCACAAAACAATCTCTTCTAAAATTAGCATATTAAATATATCAGAGTTAATTTGGAAAGAGACTGGAAGAACACACAAATGTTCACAAAAATGGTGTTAATACTAAAAGTCTACATTAAGAAATTATCACAAAATCAGAGATCTAAAAAATAAAACCTGGTTCAACCTCTGAGAGCAATAAATTGTAGCATATTTTTTTCCCCATTTTAAATCCATCTTCTGTTTAAAAATCTTTGATCTACATTTTTTTATAGATATTTTGAACATTAAGATATGCAATTTTCCATCATATTTCATTTTAATTATTTTTTCTTTTCACAAATATAATACTCTACTTATGGTAAATAGGTAATAATAAAACTATTTACTTTACTCCAAACAGGTTGAGAAAAACTTGAAAGAAAAAGGACATTTAGAAATTTCAAAATGTCCTCAAATGATCCTTGGAGGAGATGGTTTTACACGCTCTACATTTGAAGGTTGTATATTGTCAGCTGAAAGCATTGTTAGTGAAATTGAAAATAATGTTACATTGTAAAAAAAAATATTTTGATATAAAATATTAAAATAAAAAGACACCAAAATGATTCACTAAAACAGCTTATTACACTAAACTTTTATTTAGAGAAATATGAACTTCTCAGATGCATTTCTGAAACAAATGAATAAAATAAATGCTTCATAATTTTTACAATCACCAATGATAATTTTAACAGTTTTTAAGTCCAATTATCTACACAAGGTTTTTATCAGCATTTATTAACACAGGAAACCTTTTGTCAAAATGAATATAACTTCAACTGAATCTTACATAAATGATAAAAAGACGTCATGATTTTAATGTCATTTGCCAGATTTGAAAGAAACCTGTAAAGGTTTGCCAAAGAAACTGCAACCATTTAAAGACTCGATTGCAAGGACAGCTTCATCATAACTAGGCATTGTAACGAAGCCATAACCCTTACCAGCTCCAGTGCCACCTTCTCGAATAACATTGACTTTTTGCACTGTTCCGTACCTGGCAAACAACTGCCAAAGGGTTTTCTCATCAGTGTCAGGTCCAATGTTATAAACAAACAATATGTGACCTTCTCCACCGCTAACAGTAAGACCAGAAGGCGTGGAATAACCACCATAGGGACTCATGCCAACTCCATTATTTGTCATTGGATTAAATCTGAATCTACCTTGTAAGGAGTGCCTCACGGGTCCACCACCTCCAAATCTACCAGGCATGGTTGCAGCATATGGATCATGATATGGGGCACCCATACTATTACCACCACCACCACTACCTGCCATAGGAGGTCGAACTTTCTTAGCATTGTCCTCAGCATATTTAATGATTAAAGGCTCAGTTCCTCCTTCTAGAGTCTCCCCATTCATCTTTTTCATAGCTTCTTCAGCATGCCCTCTTTGATCAAAAAGAACAAAACCAACTCCTTTGTTTTTGCCACCTGTAGCATCTTTTAATACACGACACTGAACAATCTCACCAAACTGTGCAAAGAGTTGTTCCAATTCATTTTCACTCATATTTTTTGGGATTCCTCTAACATACAAATTTGCATTTTTGATATTCTCACCACCAGGACGAGAGTAGGCCACTTTGATTTTCTTATTTTGTAATTGAAAGCCATTCAAAGTTTGGATGGCTCTAGATGCATCAGCTTCACGTGCATATTCAACAAAACCAAAACCATAGCTGTATCCTGTGGTCTTGTGGCGCACAATCTTTGCCGCTTTTACTGAACCAATGCTTGAAAACAGATTGCTGAACTCTGAATCGGTTAACATCTGTGGAAGATAGTTGATAATCAAATTTGTCTTATTCGACATTTTCAAGTTATGTGTGAGTTCTCCTTGAATTGTTTAGCAAATGCGTAGAGAATTATAAGCGGAAATGCAGCACGTGAAATCTAAAAAACATGAAAGCTCTATTTTAATAACAAGCAAAAGATAGACATTTATTTATTAAGCAACACTTATTTCAAAACAAATAAAATTAATTTTATAAATTATGTTAAAAAAGTTATCTTGTTAAAAATACATATTGTAATACTGTATGAGAAGTCACAAAATTTTCAACCTGAAGGCGCCTAAAAATAAGTCTTAATATAAAAATGACAGGATAACTTGAAGACCTAGTTATAAGTTCCCTTAGTACTTGTAAATAAATCACCATCATCATAGTTGGCCAGACAGCCCAATGTGAGCCAATGCCTTCCTCTGAAGATTTCTCCATGTCAACTTCTGATTTATCTTTGATCTCCAATTCTTTTCATTAATTGCGAGAAAATCAGACTACACAGAGTCAGCCAATCTCAACCGCAGTCTTCCCCGCTTACTCATAAATAAATAATGAAGCTATTAATTTTCATATAGTATTCACCTTTTAATTTCCCTTTTTTGACAAAAAAAAATCACTTTTTATTGGCAGAATATAAAGGAAAGCAAACTTTTCATGTATTAACTTATCTTCCTTTTATAATTTGATAACAAAAAAAATTCAATGCAAGATTAACAAAATTTATTGGATTTGAACAAACATTTATTGGACCCAAAATTCAAGTCGATCCTTCAATTCCATTATTTAAAATCCAAATTTGTATTAGTAGAAAATGGGTTATTCTGAACACAAACAACCAAGATTATTAAAATAAAAAACTAAAATTCAGAAAAGGAAGGAATATTAAAAGACAATTATGAATATGAACCTTGTAGGTCTGACAGTAAAAATGTCTTAATATTTGTATTATGTTTGCATTCTGCACTAAAAGTGACATTTGGGAAGGGAAAAAAGGTGATTTCCAACAAAAAGAGATTTTAAAACATACATGATTGAAGACTAAGAATGATTTGAAAACCAAATCTTTAAAAAAGCATGAATTTATAATTTATTTGGTTTTACATTTTATACTGTTGAAATTTGTCTTAAATATTTGTATTGCACAACATTTATCGTAATTTTTAAACAGTCTGGCTTACCCCTTATTAAAAATGACAGTGAGATAATTATAAGCACTTTTCCTAATTAATGTCATGTAGCATAAAATTTTATATTATCAAGTCAACCTATATATTTCTATAACTTATACATAAATCTCAAGTAAATACTCTTCATTATTTGGAGAGTAAAAAAAATTTGATTTTTTTTCCTTAAAATACATTTTAAGTTGTGAAAACCTTTTTATCTTCTTGATAAAATATCAAATTCCTATCCTTTATTCAATATTAGTATTTTTTAAAATTGCACCTTAGTTAATTTTGAATCCAGATCTTTAGAAATGCATAATCAGAAATGCAAAACAGTTTTCATTGAAAATTAATTCTCATTGCCGAAATTTTTCTTAAGAGCCACTCGCTATAAAAAATATAGTCAACTACTCTTTTAAATTACTTCACAATACTCTAAAAAAAAATTTACGACTAATCTTGAATTTAATATCAAATAAGCGATTTTAAAAAGCTGCCTTAAAACTTGAGTACAAATATGCTCAGAAGCATAGAATAGAATGCACAATATTTATTATGGAATCCTTAAACAAAAAATACTTGTCGGAAACATTGTCTCAATATATGTAATTGAAGAGAATAGGTTAGGTTTTGATACACTTCTTTTGTTATTAAGTAACTTTCATTATATTATTATATGTATTATGTGGAAAGATCAACAGCCGTCTAACTAGAACGGAAAATTGAAATATTCCTTAGAGGCTTTAGTCAGGTACACATTTTCCTCATTGATAGCGTGTAAGATCATTGATAGTGTATCCTGATAAACAAGCGATAAGGGTGTAAAATGTTACACCTTTATTGATTGTTTATCAAGATTCTACTAAAAATTATGGTTAATTTTCCAGTGATAGTTTGATATGATATATTTTAAACAAATGAATTTTTGGTGGACAATATTTCAAAAAGGAAATACAAAGATGAATTATTATGAGACAAAAAAAAAACGAACCATAAGAAAAATCTTTGAATTGAAATGATTTTTCAACAATTTCTCCGTTTTAGATAAATATATGGAGAAAGTACTTTTCAAAGCATAAAACAAAAATTCATGGATCCACGAAAAAATGGGAACTAGCACTTTCGCTATTATATTGAAGAAAGAAAATTTTTTCCCACGCAAGAAAACCACTAAAACAATCTAGTTCAATAAAGTTCTTTTTCTAAAAAAATAGTAAAAATGACCCAATTTATATTGCTACACATTAGACGAACATTTTTGCTTAACTCTTAAAAGGTAGCATAACTTTTTAAACTACTCCCTTACTATTAACCAAAATTTCATTTTTTTTCCTTCTCGTTTTCAAACAAAAAATGTTCAATTGTGTTAACTTTTCAACACAAAAAAAAAATTGTTGATTTTAAACCCTTAAATTTACTGAAAAATAAAAATATAGAAACATATAAATAAAAAACTACATTAAAAGATAAAAAAGAAAAAACAAACCAGTGCCTCATCCGCAACAATGGCACAAGTTTAAAAAATCTTACCAGAAAAAAAAATCTCTCAATGAAGAGCTTCAAAAAAATGAGGAATTCTGGAAAAAAAAATCGTAAACATTTAATAAACTGATGTTAACATCTGCGGGAAAAACAATTACGACATAAAATAATTAAATTATGTTATAAAACACAACTTTTCTGAATGAAAGCATTAGAAAAAACATTCAAAGAAATTAAAATAAAATTTTGAACTTAAAAATATGCAAATTTGCACATTACCTTCAGAAAAATTGTTACACAAAGTTAAATATTAAAAAAAAACACTAAAAGAATTTTTTAATATAAAAAAATTGGTATTTAGATAAATAAAAAGGTTTAATATTGTCTTAATGAAAACCAGATGTCTTTGAGCTTTTATTTTAAATTGAACCTGCGTTTTCTTTTTGAGAGGCACTAACTCATAAAAAATCAATAAATTAAAAATGTTTTTAATGCTTAAAATAGTTCTATATAAACTTAATTGTTAATGTAAGGGTGCACAACTAGCAAAATCTTCTGAACACAATGAGAAAAAAAATTTTTTTTGAAAAATAACTAAAATATTGAAAATTTTGAATTGCACATTTGGGTTGCCACTATCCGACATGCACAATTTACACACATTTTATTATAAACCTATATTTCTCAATAGCATGGCTTATTAAAAACCCAATACTTTTAAAAGGATATTAGCTACACCAATTTTGAACTCAAGTAATCATATTTAGCATAGCTTTATATTTGCCAGTTATAAACCACAAATTTACACATTGTTTTAAAATACTGATGCATTTAATAATTTAACAGCTCACTCTTCGAGGTGCTTTATTCACACTGATTTCTTTGTCAAACTAAATTATTATTTTTTAATTTTAAGGCAGTTGTCACCGCTACTCAAAAATCCAAAATTTTTTATAAGATTATTATGAAATGCAAGTTTCAGATCGCATGCTTAAATAATGACTTTTTGAAGAGCTTTGTTTGTGCGGTTTTCATTGTAAATTCAAGTTGCCTTGTAACTATTTTTTTTAAGCAGTTATTGCTTTACATTCCCAAATGGTTTTAAAAACTTGGACTTAAATCAAGATGTCAATTTCAAAAAACGGATTTAATTACTTATTGACGAGCTTTATTCATAGTGATTTCATTGTAAATTTTATGATCCTATTGCTGTTATTACATCACGAGTTCTTAATCATTCAAATAATCACTTATATGGTTATTTTATTTTAAAATAATTTTTTACACCAAGTGATACAAAAAAAAAAAAAACTTCTTTAATCCAATATTTTTATTCTTCTAAATACCTCAATTTTTGATAAAGGAAAATTGCAATTACTGATAAATACCAGGTTTACTGACAAAAAAAAGTTCTTAGAACAATTTGTTATGTAATCAGCTAAGCAAGTGGCTTGTCATTCAAAAAGTATGTGCATCCCTAATTTATGTTTGTAAAGAAGTTTATGTCTATAAAGATGATAAACTTTCAGAGCAACATATTTAGTCAGGTACGGAAATAATTGAAGTTGAGACTCAAGGGGAAGCGAGTAAAATTTTCCCAAGAATTATTTATTATTTTCACGAACTATGCGGGAGCTTATTCTCTACACACACCCACACTTGAAGAAAAAAAACTAACAATACTACTATAAATATTATAATAAAATAAAAGTATTTAGTTTTTGGTTTACGCAGAAACTTATGAAATGTCAACTAAAGACATGTAACTTTAAAATAATTTGTTGCTATTTTTAAAATTGAATTTTTTTAAATCTCCAATATTTTTGTAAATTTTGCCCCCAAACATCAAAAAAATCTTTCTTTTATGTTAAACACATAAATTACTTTATATGAAAATTAGTTTCAATTCCTTAAGTTTATGGAATCTTAAATTTAATAATTCTCNAAATAATTTGTTGCTATATTTAAAATTGAATTTTTTTAAATCTCCAATATTTTTGTAAATTTTGCCCCCAAACATCAGTGTTAAGGTTCAATAATTTGGAGACTACCATCATGCAGGGATGTAGAATATGTATATATGTGTGAATAAGGTTTAAGGGAAAGTCAGTTAGTCTTACATAAATTTTTTGTCTAATTCTAATTAAAGAAATAACAGATTTTTTTTATTGCAATAGCAAATAAATGTGATTTTTCCCGTAATATAAATAATTGAAATAGCAAAAATCTTTCAATGAAAAAAAATCTTTCTTTTATGTTAAACACATAAATTATTTTATATGAAAATTTGTTCAATAGTTTCAATTCCTTAAGTTTATGGAATCTTAAATTTAATAATTCACTATTTTAATATAATTTGATTTCTTATTTCTAACTCACTTGTTAGATAGGTCAAGAATTTATTTTACACAGAAAACAAAATTTTAACAAATATAAAATAAATAATTTAACAATAGAATTTTTTTTTAACAATATACAAATTTTACTCTTTGTGAAATATTTATAAATATATTTAAAAAAAAATTGTGACAAAAAAATTTCAAACCAAAAAAACTGTTCAATGGAAATAGTAAGGCTTTAAAATTAGTTCATGTCCGCCATCGAAAGAGTGCCAAGGTAGACATTGCGTTCTGACTTTACTTACATATCTGCAGCTTGCTTCTCAGGTTGGCCACTTAGACAAATTAAAACTTCCTTACACACCCAAAGTAAAATTTAAAAAGTTATATATAAATGCAGAAATTTTGTTATAAAACTGAAAATTGTTCATCATTTAATATCTGTAAATTAATAACAAAAATTTATTTTTTAATTAAGTGTTTCATTTCAATAAAAGTTCTACGTAATAGTTTCCAAAAATGTGTATCTTAATGTTAAAGTAAGTTAATTTAAATAAAAGTAATATTAGAAAATTGAAACAAAATTATCATAAAGAATTTTTGCTCATAATAGCAAAAGTGACAAGAAAAATGATAGCATGGGAGCATTCAACCAGATCAACATGCATACACTTAATATCCACAAAAATTTTACACTTAAGTTAAATTTTTTTAGTTGCCCTGCCAAATTATTGTCTCTAAAGCTAGACAGATTTAATTCAATCATTGTATTTTTTACTCATAAAGAAATAAAATTAGTAGGTTACTTTAAAAGAAGCTGCTAAACTATGGACTTCAGGGGAATTCAGGGAAAATATATTAATCAAACTTGTAGCTTCATACGAAGAAATTTCTAAAAAAGCTTTTTCGCAACCTCTGTAACTTGAGCTATGGGTTTTTAATATCAGATTAAGCATCAACCTGATATTAAAAAATGTATATATTTGATTTTTACTTCATTATTATAGCTTTTTAAATCATATTACTGACACATAACATAAATAAACTGATTGAATAAAATTCATCCTATTAATATAATAAAAATAGGCTGTTTAAATTTTTTTATCGGACAGTACGTGCGTTTAGAAAACAATAACACAAATTATTTAGATAATTCAACAGAAAACAAAAATTAACTAATACGTAACAGAGATTAATACTTCTTACCATTATAGTTTAAGATAAATTGTAAGAAAAATACTTTTACATGTTAACATTAACAAAAGATAACTTATTTGTGGAATATCGGTTAAAATTTGAGACAAGAAAAATGAAAATGGCGAAATCCGACATTCGATTTTAAAACATAACTAATAATTAAAACTAAAAGGCCTTCAGCAAATGTGAAGTTACAACGAATAAGAAATTAATAAACACGAAATCGAGTATTGAAATATGCTCTTACCATGAAAGTTCTTCAAAATTAATATATAACTTTAGTTCGGTGAAAAGATAACGACCATTAAACAAGGACAGGCGTCGAAGAAGAAGGAGCGGTTTTGCCAGATGATAACCGAAAACTTTTTATTTTCTTAAAATTTTAATAATAAAATGCAGTTTTGTTTTTAAAATCTTTCAATTTCTTAAAATCCCCTCGAAGTTGATGGGCAAAACAAATAACATAACAAAAATTTTACTTTTTTTCTCTTTAGAGATCTTAACTTTACTAAAAGATGAATTCGTTGAAAAGAAGATACTGATTAGTCAATTTTCTCCGATTAAGCTCAACTTTTAAGGGCCATTCGCACTACAAGCATAAAAATCCCAGCAGTACTCGATGTTGTAGTCGTTGTAGTTAATTTACGTCGCACTAGAGCTGCACAATGGGCTATTGGCGACGGTCTGGGAAACACCCCTGAGGATGATCCGAAGACTTGCCATCACAATTTTGATCCTCTGCAGAGGGGATGGCACCCCCGCTTCGGTAGCCCGACGACCTGCACGCGAAGTCGAGCACTTTACGATAGAACAGTTTAACGAGGACCAATACCGCACACCCTCGGTCCCTACGCAGACTGATCCAAGTGGTCACCCACCCGCACACTGACCGTAGCCAGTGATGCTTGACTTCGGTGATCTGCTGAGAACCGTGTCTTAGCGATCAGTCCACTGCGGGACCCAGCAGTACTCGAATTGGAAAGAATCAGAACCTCATTGGTGAAATATTTTTACCCGCGAGGCGGTAAATATTTTTTACCGCAAGCAATTACGTTATATCGTAAGTAACTCCGAGCATATACCCTAGCTTAGCCCTAGAACATGGACCTACATGAACATGGACAGAGGAACTAATATAGGGATGTCTAGATTTTTTAATATTGGTCCTATATGGGAGCAGGTGAATATAAAATATCGGGTGAATCTGATAATTTTATATAGGGCCGATATTAGTTGTTAAGTGGCAGTAAAATATCGAGTAAATCGGACATATCTATCTAGGGCTAATATTGGGAAAAATAACGGCTGTTTGAACCCTAAAACTGAGGACAAGATTGCAACTAGCAGCCCTCAATGAAATAGATATACCACAAAAACAAATTGAAATAAATATTATATTCCACAAGAACAAATTGTTAAGATAAGGCGTTCTACATTCAAATTCATCATAAATCTATCAGTTATCTCCCCTTCTGCTGACCAGACCAGTGGTCCTCTCGCCGTTCAAACCCCCTTCCTCTAGCGTCCACCATGTAAAAGGGGGCGATTATAAACGATTTGTAGCTTACAAATTATCAATTTGTAATTGTGGGGTATCTATTTCACTGAGGAAAGCAAAAACAGCCTGTCCTCAGCCTTATTGAGCCAAGATTCGTGAATATTGGTCCAATAAGGGCCCAAGTTACTTTGCTGTTAGGGTCCCTTCTTTTCCTTACCATATACGTGCGTGCGAATATTTAGAACACTCAGTGAGATTTCGCATTCAGTGAGATTTCTCCCTAATTAACTTGTCCCGTGATCGTAAAGACACGGTTCCCAGTAGAGAACGAAAGTCAAATATCATTGGAGGTAAATCAATAAGAACCTTCATTAACGTTAGAGAAGCATTGAGAAAATTTATCGATAGCAATTAAACCTTGAAGAAAAGAGGAAAAAAATTAAACATGAAATTCATTCTATTTCAAAAACTACGCAAATAAAAGCTGACATCATTAAAATTTTCTGAAGTTCGCTGAGTGTGGTAGATGGAGTTTTTGACCATTACGTTTTGGGCATGTATACGATTCCCATGCACGATTAAGCGTGTTATTGCGTCAGGGGGCTGGGAGATTGATAATACAGGGTGCCCACAGTCGGGTACCAAGGAAGGTAAGTTTCCAAAGCATTTTTCGGGCGGATACTTTTTTAAAATTATTTTATACAATTTTGGCAGTTTAAAACTGTAAATTAGATATTTGAAGAATTTTTTTGATTATTAAGAAATATTTAGAAGGGGTTAATTTTTTGATTTATATTTGGGGTTAGTTTTTAAAATCTGTTTTAGTGGCGAATATTTTTCCAGCTAAATTTATTACATCATAAATAAGGGTTCTATTTTACAATTAAAAATAAGAAAAGCTCATTTACAAGTGATTTACTTTGAGGGGAACTGGAGTTCTTTTTGGCAGAGGGTTGGATTTCACTCTTATTTTTTGGTGGGGGCATATTTTTCGGATTTTTGTTGTTAGAGGGGATTATTCTTTCCAGCCATGTTCATTATATTTATAACTCAAAATTTACTTAATAAAAGGAGTGCACTTGTTGGATTAAAACATTAAGTTTTAATATATATGTATATTTTTTGGTGGGAACTTTAAAGCTTTTTTTGGTAATGATATTATTCGCATCATTTTTATTACATCTTTATTATAATTAAAAAATGGGGTTGGAATTTTAAAGGGAAACTAATTTTTACATAACATATACTTATTTCTGTGACTGCAGAGTTAACATGTCCTCTTTCAAAGATTAGAGAAGAAAAAAAACTCATCTATTTTGGTAGAATAAATTTCTTTGTACAGCTTACGACGAATTGAAGAAGTAGTCTCGAAGTTTAAGCTGTCGAATTTACAAAGACTACGAGATTTATTGCAGATATACATTAAAAAGTGGAAGATGGTTGAAGTTGTCGTCCTTTCTCTAACCAATGCAGCATTGTGAGTGTGGTCTGATCAGATTACATTTCTCTACCCGTAAAACCAGATCGAAAACGTTGTTCCCCAATTACAAAAGGACTTTTAATTATTTCATTTTCGGATTTTCTAGAATAATTTAATTTTCCTAAATAGTAAAATAATGCATCTTACTTTATAATCTTAGAAGTGAGGGGCCTAAACGTTTAAAAGCTTGGACGCCGCTTTGGATGGTTATTTAACCATCCCCACTTAAGTTGGTGGAGTTTATTTCTTTAATACTTTATTTAGAGTTCTTTAAATCTGAACAGCTTTCTTAAGCGTGGAGCCTACAATTATGAAATCCACCATCTTCAGAGACCCTGTTCGAGTTTTCATCTTAATCATTGAAGGATGCAATATAAATTATTGCATTTAATTTTCAATACTGAAAACTTAACTAACTTTAACGAAAACTATTTGTTTTTTCATCAAATTTATCATTTTTTTGAATATTTGTCACTGAAAAAAAAGACTTGCAGGGGCCTTGTTCCGCATCCTCAGCCCATGATGGTTTTGAGCATGTAATGAAATTTCTATTCCTCTTATTAGTAAAGTATAGTATAGTAAAGTACCATTAAGCGGTGATGCTGACAAAATGGGTACCGGAGGTGACCAGTTTAGAAATATATAAAGTGTGGGAATGATAATAATAAAACACAGACACAACAGGAACATACTTTTTTTCAGTTAAATTTTAATTTGTTTCATAAATCTAATGTTATTTATACACTATATACAATTATAAGAATAATAATCAGACTACTGAAAATGATGAAGAATACACTACAACAGGGGTGGTGAACCTTTATGCACCAACGTGCCATTTTTTCTAAAAAATTGTTTAATTTGGTCATAGACGTGCCGTCAAACAATTTCGACTTCGAGGTTATTGGGAAAATAATAACAATAAATACTATCAACTCAAAACTCTTTATTTACTATGACATTTCGAAATGTCTCAGTTATACGCATAATTCAACTTAAAGTAACATCAGTGTGACTTCTGTTGTTGCAAATTAGATGACAAATAATTTATATTAGGTTGTAAGATGTTATTTTAAGCAGGTTTGTTAATTTTTTTTTTGCTAGTTATTTCTAGCTTGTTTTTTATGGTAATTAATTGTTTTTTTGGCATTAATTGTAATTTTTTTGTTAATAATTGTTTATTTTTTTATGTTTGTTTTTGTGAATTTTCATTTAATTGGTTAATTGCTTCACAGTGAACTTCGTGATCGGTGGTGTGTCCAAAATATTATGTGGCGTGCCATAAATGGCACGCGTGCCATTGGTTCGCCATCCCTGCACTACAATAATCATATCAATACTCATTTAAGTTATTAACGGGTATTTATTACTTCAAAACAATATTAATTGTTAATAAATTACATCTATCTGGATTTAATATATAGAATGAATATTTTTCACAATTCTAAAACAATTATATTAAAATTAAAAGTGAATAAGGAAAGAAATTATGATAAAAAAATTTTTTTCACATAAAATGTGCAAAATGTTTTTTGCTAATTATAACCAGATGAATTAAGAATGATCAGTGTATCGGTGCTGTTTAACCAAATTAAAATTTAAAGACGATCACAAAATAATAGCATAAATTATTGCAATGCAGACAAGAGTGATGTCATGAGTTCTTAATGCGAAAAAATATAACACATTGATTAATTAGAGTTTTGTTCGCATTTAAAATAATAATGAAAGAGACAAATATACTTGAGTACATAGAAACAAAGCAAAATTATTGAACACTGATTTTTTTTCTCCAGTTCTATCTTTACACAGATTTATATCTTTGCACAGATTTAAATTTAATCATTAACAGTACTATACATAACTTTAAGGATTATAGCAAAAATAAAAACAGTATACACTATGTTCTGTAAGGAAAAATCTTAAAATATATATTGTCTGGGAATAATTCTTTTAAGAAACAAAGAAATTTTTTTATATTATTTACATAAGGGATCTTTACGATTTATTTTCTTCACTTCACATTAGAGATTAAAATTTATATTAGGTAATAAGTAAATTGATAATATTATCAGTTACTTTCAAAAATGTATTTTAATTATGCATCGAAATATCAAAAAGGTTTTGGAAATATGACCAATCTAATTGAAATCGTCAAGAGCAGGGGAAAGATTAAAATAATCTAAAACTAGCTTATTTCAGAATGAAGCTTCATGGACGTGTGTACCAAAAAACGATACAAATAAACTGGTTTTAGATGATTTTAACTCATTCTTTGCCTTTTACGACCCTAATAACGATTATTCAGAGTTAATAATTTTTTTCATTATTTAGAAATTTAATTGCAAACAAAAGGAATGTAGGCTGTTTTTTTTTACTTTATTTTTGCAAAGATTTTAAACCTATACATTAATGGCAGTCATTACTGAGCACCTTTTATTTTGGACTTACTACTAATTGCTTTCAACAGAATAACTGTTTCTGTATAAGCAAATATAAATTGCCTCAAACAAAAAATTCAGTTGATTTGTTTATTTACTTACTCTTTTTATTTTCCATTTTGTCTTTAGAATCCTGCTTTGATCATGATCCTTACTAAATACATAAATGTATAAATAGATTTAATATTGTAACATAATATCCTCAATTATGAAAAAAAAATAATAATGAGGTATAGGGTATTCTTTTATGATTGCCTTTAATAGATATATTTAACACATTTTAAAAATGGAGTCAAAAGACTATATATTTAGAGTTCAAATTACCTAATATTTAAGTTTAAAGGAACAAAAAAGTTTTCCAACTATGACCAATCATGAATTCAATAAGAGTAAACGAGAGATTAAATACAAATACATTTCAGCCTCATAAGGCAAATAAACTGGGTTTATGATTACTTTAATCCCTCCCTTGCTCTACCAGAACTCACAATTCAACAAGAATTCAGAAACATTTTTTTTTGAAATTTTCTCACTTAACTATTATTTTGCAATTGATTCAGAGCAGTTTTTTCATTTCAATCTCTACAAAGATTTTTTAACGTATACATAAAGAGAGGTTATTCCTGAACACATTGATTTTGCAATTGATTCAGAGCAGTTTTTTCATTTCAATCTCTACAAAGATTTTTTAACGTATACATAAAGAGAGGTTATTCCTGAACACATTGCACATGTAACTAGGTACTTAGGGTGGGTTAAAAGTACATGTACAAAACTTTGGGAGTTATTAAAAGCAAATGAATAACATTTTTAAAAGTATAGAGTATATAGTAGGAAATCAATAAATAACAGCAAGACTAAAATGTTTATTTTTCGTTATGTAACTGTTTAAAGGGTTTCTTTTTCTCTCGGTATGTTTTAAACTCCTCATATACAATAATCTAAATAAAAAAACTCATTGATAAGTTGTATCATAATTACAATATAAGAATTTCAGATGTGTTTTTCTAATTTAACTTATCAATGACTTTTCTTATCAATTGGTCAGAAAATAGACATGAAGATTTTAAGGAAAACTCAGTTTAAAAAATTTTAATAAATTACTGCATGTTTTTTTTAAACATGTATTATTCATATATAAATTTTTTTTTTCATTTTTACAACTTTTAAATAAGTTGTCAAAGGTGAACAATTATATAAACTAAGTTAACAGCAATCTCAAGTTTCAAATTGAATTACTTTCTTATGCTCTAAATTTTACATTCAAATCCAAAGTGATTCACAATGGTAACAATATACATCACCATTTGAAACCTTAATCTGATTAAAATAGCCAGATCAAATTTAACGAGAAAGGCTAAAATTCATATTATTCGCGAAATTTCAATAGGATAACAGAATCTTCAAAAAAAAACTTAAGTTTCAAGAGTGAGAAATAGTATAACTCAATTTGATTATTTATTTTTCTTAATTGGCATCAAAATTTACCATGAACAACATTTTTAACAATGCATATTGTTCTTTATGGTCTCACAAGTGTAATATTGAGATCAAATTGAACACGATCTAATATAGTACAACTGAACATCAGGTAAACAGACTACACCATCTCTCATTTTGTACTTAATGAAACTTTTCTAATAACAAAATACATAGTTAAAAAGATAAAATCAAATAAATTTTTAAATTACAGTGATTACTCAATTTCAGTTATATGTCGTAATTGCGTGTAATATATTTAAAAATAAAAATTCTCATTAGCAACTAGTGAAAAGGTTAAAAAAAAAATTTGCTTATTCAAGTAAATGTCTCCCAACAGATAATTCATTCAAGTCTACAATATTTAAATAGACGTTGGAGAATATTCATGGACGGAGTATTTGATCGAGGTGGCTGTTATAACATTCCATTGATGTTTAGGCAGGGTGCTTGGTGACATTGCTGTGCCATTTTTGCGCTTCATTTCATCACATTTTATTCAGTGCAAAGTGATGTTAAAAGAAACTCATCTGTGCATAACTGACAAATTTGGTGGTGACATTTGGTGTTGAACTGAAAAGAAATTAAATAAATAAATAAAACTGTAAAAAATTTAGATATTTCTTTAAGTGAACAAAGTATAGCACTCTAAGTAACATTGGATGGAAAAAATGACTAGATCGATTTTTTGCCCTTTTTCATAAATTTCCAGTATTATATTAAAAACGATTTTATATAACATAGTTTGCGAATGCGTAATTTACTACAAAGCTCAATTTTTTTTGGAAATATTTGCTTTCTAAGGTTCAATAAATGACAGTAACATGGCAGATGGTAATAGTGAAAATTCTTTTACATTGTCGTTGTACCACAACACAGGGAAACTGCTGAGATATCGTCAAACAAAGAAAAACATCATGCTTTATTAGGGAGCATTTTTAAAAATTAACAAATATGGCCATAATTATAACTTGAAAAACATGTTATATTAACAAAATAGAATATTAAGCATCTCTTTTAGAGAGACAAAGACAATTTCTTTTTAGCCATTCATTTTTAAATAACAATACTTGTAACACTAATTAACGGTTAGATTAAGGAGCCATCAGGCGGGCATCGAAAAAGCCTAACCTAGTTCTAGCCTTAAGAAGTTCAAATTTTCTAGTAAATGCATAGTTACGAACGGTATATTAATTAATATTAAATTTTTAATAATCTTAATCACCAAAAAGACCGTTAGAATATTTTGTGGTTAGAAAAAATAAAGTAGCATAAAGAAAAGAAAGGTTGAAGATTTTGATATTCGATTAGTTGCGACACTGGATTAATCAGTTATACATTTGTATTTAATTAGAAAGTTAGCCGTTACATTTATATTCACTTTTTATAAAGTGTGATAAAACTTTAATAATTGATTTATTTTATGATTAAATGATTAAAAGAATGATTAAAAAATAAATTTATGTAATTAAAGAAATTTTGAAAGTTGAGAAATATGTAATGCCTATAATGTTATCACAGATAGTATAATGTACTGTCAGTGATACTATAATGTATCACTGACATAATGTCATAGTGTTTTAATACATAATGTTTCTGCTGACATAATGTCATAAGTAGCTGCCTGCATTGCTGAAAATTGCTGCTTTGATGAAATTAAATTGTAAAGAAGCTTTATAGGAGCTTTCCAGTATGGGCGGGAACATTCCTAACTGTGTTTTTTTTTCTTCATTCTAAAATTTAAAGCAAATATTACTTAAAAGAACATAATTTCAATATGTTTGAAAAGGGTTTATGCTTTGTTGTCAAAGTCGTCGAAAGTTACGAATGAAAAAAATAAATGATTTTAAGCTATAAATATCTTTGATGGAAATTTTTTTTTTCTTGATAAAGGTTGTTCTATAATAATTTTAAAGATAAATGTCTGCTTCTAGTAAATTACTTACGAAATAAATTTAAAGATCATTATATTTGAATTTCGTCTTATTCCCTACAGATTTCAGTAAATTTTGTCAAAACAAGTTATTTTCTATATCTGCAAGATTTCTGAGAAATGCAAACAAGCTTAATTCTAAAATTTGAAAAATTTATTAACACAAAAAATTCATAGCAATTGCTAATTTCTGTATTAAAAAATTAAAGGTCAAGTAACAGGATGTTCCACAGTGACAGCTTTTAATACATATTTTTAAAATTTTTGTTAACAAATTTAAGAAACTAGCAAATAAAAATTTATATTCAAGTGAGCAAACAGCAAAATGTTTTGAAACTAAAATTAATCATTAAGGACAAGAAGAGCACATAAGGGATTGAAGTCATCAAGAACCAGTTTGTTTGTGTAAAGAGACGGAAATACATTTGTTCTTCAATTCACTATCAAATACATTAATTTTACATGATGTTTAATCTCTGATTTGCTTTTATCGTCCATATAATGATTATTTAAAGTATTGAAAATTTCTATGTTCTTTCTTACATAAATATTAATTTGTGATCACAAGGAAATATAGTTTTTTAGCATCAATTTTTTCAAGTTTTCTAAAAATATATGTTACATGTGGTCGTTTTGAAACACAATAATTTTAAGTTTAACTGGTTACCTTTAATGGGTGCAGCAAATTAGAATGACAATTTAATAATTCATCAAACAAGATCTTGATACTTAATTATTATGTGAGCAAGCATTATGCTGAAAATCAAATGTAACCGGCAGTTAGTAAATGATGTCGCATCTATTTCTTAATGTTTTTTACCATCTTTGTCACAAAGTGTCTCACTTCACCATACCACCTTGTCACATATGTAATAGTTTATGGAATATATCACGCTATGTCACATAGAAATGTATACTAACAGTTAAGGAACAAAATAGATGTTACAGATCATATTTTCAACTTTAATAGCATGTTTCAGTGATTTGTGCGCATAATAACAATAATAATCAGATACTTTCATAACAATAATTTTTTAACAGTATTTTAACGATGTTTTTTTAAACAAGAATACTTTTTTATGAAAAAAAAACATAAAAATTAATAATGTACAAAACTATTTGAGCTACTGATTTTAAATATTTTCTCTTTAAAACAAAATGCATGATGTCAAATTTTTCGTGATCTCTCCTTCCACTTAAGTAATCTTGACAACATTTCATGAATATTGTCCTTCCTCTTAAAGACCTTAATCTGTGGAAGACACCTAACTTATAAGAAATAGAGAAAAAAATTACTTTATCGGCGCATGTTGAGGGATTGGTCAGAATCCCATCGTTGCAACTCTTCTCTCACAAGTTGTTCCATTTGCTGCCTCTTAGCTTTCTCATCTAAATTATCACTCTGAGGAAATAAACATATAGTTAGTTTAACCAGAAATAAAGTACACCAGCAAACATATTAAATTCAAAACGAAAATTTAAAAATGGATTGTATAAACTTAATTTACATCTGAAATTGAGTTCAGAATCTTATTCATGTTTTCCCGCCTTTTCACTTTCGCCTTCTCCATACCTTCCATTTTCACCAAAACAGCATCAATCTTGGACACAATGCTTCCAATAGAATGTTCCATTCTGTCCACACGACGTGTAAGCCTTTTGAAATAATAAAAAAAATTTTAGTAAATGTTTTCCTTTATCAAAATATTAATTATGAATAAAAATGCAGAAAATACTTTGACCATAAAGTGTCAATCTATGTCAGTAATATCATGGCTAATAAATTTTTTAAAATTTTTTTATTTACCCTTTGATGCATGTGGGACACCGATGTCCCTTACATATTTATTAAGATGCTCTACTTATAAGCAAAAGTATAATTTGGCATTTTTTAATAACAAAAACTGTCTGAGAGTTAGGTACTAAAAAAAATCTGTTAGATTATTGGAATTATATTTGTACTGAAATATAAAAATCCAAAAAAAAGTAGATTGACTCAGTAGACCTTTAGTAGTAGACCTTTAACTCAGAAAGAGACACTGATGTTTCATAACCTATGGTTCACACAGTTTCATTAGCATAAATTAATTAAATGCTAAATAAAATATTTTTCACTTATTTTGACCAAACTTGGTTCAAAATGAGAGGAAAAAATTTAACTGCAACAAATATTGTGCGAGCAAGTGAAGTAAGACGTCAGCCGAAAGATATGTCAAGAAACCGTCTAATAGCAATTTAGTGCAAAATGTGTTATTTTTAAAGAGAAATGGTCAAACTAAATATGCTGCCTCATATGTACTACTATAACTATGTGCAGCTGAAAGTATTCTTTATTCTTTTAAAAACGTGTGTCTTATATCCATTTGAAACTGTTCAACCTTGCGTAGTACTCTGGCCTACCAAGTATGTAAGAAAAAGCAAAATCTTCAAATAAATAACATTTTGTAAAAGTAAAGTAGAAAATTTAAATTCAGCAACAATTCAAAAAAAAAAAAAATAATAATAAGTAAAGAGATTTAATCATGATTATTTAAAAAAACAAACAAAAAAACTAGACAATAGCAATGCATGAAAATTCAAATTTCGCTGTAATAATCAGATCATGTGTTTTTACATTTTTTTCAGTAAATTTTTGTTGTTGATTGATTAATAAATCATTTAACTACATCTATTTTATTATCTTTTAAATAATGAACTATATGTACTGTTTTGTGGATCAATCACTTCAAAAATTCTTTGCCAATAGGAAATTGACTCAGGTAAACAAGTAAATTATTTTCAAATAGGCAAACTAATTTTTACATCTTTGAAAACTCATTATCTTTCACACTTACACATTAAACTCATCAGCAGGAACGCCAGATCCCCCTCGTCCCTGCATAGCGGCAGTCACAGGCCTAGAGACATCAGAAGCAACCATACTCTGTTGGTTGTTAATCTCATCATCCAGTTGTAGTTTCTGTCCTTCCAAATCAGCAAACATTTGTAGTGTCTCTTTTTCATCTAGTTCTCTGTTTCCATCCACATCATACTTGGCAAACAGCATTTCAATCTCCAGGTCAGAGAGATTTCTCCTGCAAAATTAAAGTGAGTGCAATTAAGTGCATAATTTACTATTTAATCCTTAATATATATATATATATACATACATAATGGTGTGTGATTTAGAAGATCAAATTTAGAGCTATATCAATCATATAATGAACCTGTCATTATTAACTTAATTAAACAACAAAGAATAAAATGGGCAGGCCACGTTATCAGAATGGACGAAGACCATGCCACAAAAAGAGTTCTCAATGTCAGACCAGTTGGCACATGAAAAAGAGGCAGGCCGAATTTGAGATGGATAGAGGGCCTGGAGAAAGCCCTTTTGGTCTTAAAAACAAAAAATTGGAGAACACTAGCAAAAAAAAGGTTAGCCTGGAAAAAACTTCTTGAGAAGGCCAAGGCTCACCCTGGGCTGTCAAGCCATTGATGATATATATATATATGTATATAATAGAGTGTTCATAATCACTGTATTTAATATATAATTTTAGAATTCAAGTAAGAAATACATATTAAGGGTCACAAATAAATATTTAAGTTAGGGAAAAGGAAATGATTACAGAAATTTGACAAATCACTATTGAGGAAGGTGGTATTCAACGCATGCAATCGTGTTAGATTACTGAAGAAAACAGAGCAATGTTGACAATCGATTATTCGATACATTCAATTTTAGCAGGCAATTAAACCGGTTTTGAGGATCTTCATCTCACCTTCTATAATAGTGATTCCTCAAATTTTCATAATGTCTTATAACTGACTTTATAAATATCTCCATTCTAATAAAATATTATTCTCACCAAATTCGTAAAGGATAGAAAAAATACATTTATTAAACACCATCCCAGTATAACTTAGTATATAAAATTCAATATCTATAGTAATTATTAACTTAAAACAATGATTTCAGAAAAATTAAATATTATGTTACATATCAACTGTTTTGTTTTTCCTATCAACCTTTTCTAAGGTAAATATGGTTAAGTGTTAATTTCTTTTTATGATTAATTGTTGAAATTCCCACCGTGTTGTATCGCATAATAAACTTAATTTAATTTCTTTTTTCTATAGTTGGGAAAGATACTCTAGGGTAGGAAACAAAATATTTGTGTTCTGCTCTATACCCAGTTTTTACAAAATCTTATAATATATATGGAATATAGATACTGTCAAATATTAAGCGTTTCAATAGTTGAAATCTTACTCTTATCTTGCGGCTTAAAATCATAAAATGAATTCAATTAGTAAGAAGTTATAGATTAGAGAGGGCTTACTAACAAAATAGATCTTACAAAAGATTTAAATTTGAGGGCCCCTTTTACTGAAGAATAAGTATTGAAAGATAATAACTTATTGAAAACTTACGCCTTTAATTGTTGTCGAACTTCTTGATATGTTAGTTTCTTATCACCATCAGAGTCTGCGAACTTCAGAGCATTTTGTATATCTTGAATCTTGTCCCGTTTACCAAGTTTTCCAAGAATGTTATTGTAGCCCTAAAATGAAAAAAAAATTATCAATGACAATAGCATACAAACTGGTTGAAAATTAGAGTATCATAAATAGAGGGAGTTTCATTATGAATACAGAGTGTTCTGTAATCACTTTAATGTATATTTTTAGAATCCTTTTAAAAATGAAGTACACATATTAGGGGCTGTAATTTATCTTTATCAAGGAAAAAACAAAACGCTTTGGAAATCTGTCAAATCAGTAGTATAGAAGGCAAGACTGAAATCATGAAAACTTGTTTAATTGCCTGAAATTGAGGTGTCTTCATAATCTCTCTTTTTTGCACAGACACTCTTTATGACAACTCCTAAGATGCATGCTTTTTTACTTCATTTTTGAGAATAAATTTAAAAGTATATTATTGTAAAAATGAACTTTAAAAACTAAGCTCTTTAAGGGTTGCAATCTAATTTTTAGGTGATAAAAAATTTTGACTCTTTATTAATGAAATTAGAAGATACAAAAGAAGGATTAAAATAATAAAAAACTAGTTTATTTGCCTAAGACAACTGGAATGTATTAGTTTTTTGCAACTAACTGTCTTTAAGCAAGATATATCTTTAAATAAACCAGTTTCAAATGATTTTAACCCTTCCCTTGCTCTTTATCGTCCTCAATAAGATTTGGTCTAAATTTAAAAACATTAGTAAATTAATGTGAATAAATTTAAGCTAACATGCATAGTTATTAAATATTATTTTTTATAATATAGATTCCAAAAACATTTATTAAGGTCAATCAGTATATTACACCTTTAAGTGATAAATAAGTTACATCCATTTCCCCAGAGAATTATAATATATAATCTAAGTTCGTAGTAAAAGTACAGTTAAAGAATCTTTGAAAAGCAAATACCTATCTCTCTTTTCTATATATATATATATTCCTGATTCTTCTATAACCCTATGAGAACAAAAATTTCCTCTTCCATTTCAACAGAAAATCTAAATTGTTTACATACATAGGAAAAGTATGATCAAAACACCAAGCAACACACAGTGTGAAATTCGGGAATTAAAAAAATTAACAAAAAAAAAATCCATTTTTATAAAAGAGATTTAAGAGAGGTTCGTACAGAAAAAAAGGAGTGAATATTAAAACAATTGGACAAAGGAACTCACCTTTTTGAAGAAGTCTGCAATTTCGAATTCACTATTAGAATTAGCAATTTCTGATTTTACTTCAGCATAGGTATCGTTAATGATGGCCAAGAACATATTCTGTGGGAGAAGAATTTATTTTTAAGTAATGCATTTAGTAAGAGAAAGTAACTAAGTAAAAATAAAAAAAAATATATGCTACTTTTGTGATATGCATAATTTTCATAATAAAATTAAATCTAAGTAACTATTTAAGAAAAAGTGAATAAATTAGTTACCATTAAAACGAAGAATACGAAGAAAATGTAACTCAGGAAATATATAGGTCCCAGTACTCTGTTGGCATTCTCCAATGCCTCAAAATCGAAATCTCCCAATATGAGGCGGAGTAACGCAAATCTGAAACAATATTTTATTACTTCAGATGAAATTTTATGCAGATTGTTCTGTTATAACTACAATTAATAGAATTTTTGTTGTTGTTATTAATGCAACTTGCTAATACCTTCACGCCTGCTTGAAATAGAGAAAATTTTTAAGCAGAGGGTGTGTTTCTTGTTTTTTCTGTGGCGCCATCTATGGTCAAGAATACGACTTCAGCCACACACACGTCACAGCCCGTTTTACAGACAGGACCCAATTATACTCCACTAATTCAATTTGAATTATACTCCACTGACCTGAACCAGAAAACAACCAATCTGCAATTCAGTATCCCCAGAGGTATTGATTTATGGGAATTTGGAATACTTTATGGTCCTGATAGACTTAACATGCACCAGTAACCATTAAATACACTAGGATTCTTTGGCCGGTGGGATTCGAACTCACGCTTTCGCGTCTGCGAGCCCACGTATCCGACCAACCAGGCTATCTCGGTTCATAAAATTTTTAAAATCCTTTTCAAAAAAGTATGCATATTAGGTCTTAAAAGGCATTAAAAATTATAAAATAACTGTTTAATAATAGAAAAACAAAAATGGTAATTAAACCAGACAAATCTCTACTGAGAAGGGTGAGACTGAGAACATCAAAGCTTGTTTAATTTCTGACTAGAAAATTTTCTCCAGGCAATCAAACTGGTTTTGATGTTATTAGTCTTCCTTACTAGTGTGTTATTAGATCTCGACAGCGTTGTTTCTTTTCTTTTGTTTCAATATTAATTTCCAACCTTTAATTTGCTTTTGAAACTTTAAAACATTTTAAACTTTATTTTTGCGAAAAATTATAAAAAAATATGTATTAAAGGCAGACATTACAAAACACTCATTATGCATTAAGTGCAAAAAGAACACTTGTTAAAATTGGCAACATGTTATATGGGACGTGGTAGTCAAGAGGTTACAACATCCGACTTTGGTCCAGAGGGACCAGGGTTTGATCCTTAAAGACACACTGAGTACATGCGATATGCGTGCTCGTAAAATCTGTGGAATCAAGTCCTATAAAAAGAAGAAGAATTGATACTTGATTACTTACACAGCTGTACCAAATGTGCTAAACTCTTTCACAATACTTCCAAATAAAAGGTAACCAAGTTGAGCGAAGGCAAAAAATACAATGAAGAACATAACAGCAAATCCTCCAATGTCTTTGGAGCACTGAAAAAGTAAAAATTTAAGTTAAAAATCAAAATTTAAATTAAAAAACACAATTTAATATAAAAATCAGTGTTTAGTAAAGCAATTATTATAGAAAATATAATAAAAGCTTGTAATATTGCCTTTATATAAGAATTGCAATTGCCAATTAATATGTCAATTTTGTCAACTTCAAAATTTTTCATTGTTAAAAAAATTTCTGTCAAGAGTTTTTTCATCTATTTATGTTGGTGCTTCAAATGCTAATAATAACCTTAATGTAGAAAAACTATACTGTCATACTTTTTTCCCCTCATACATTTTCCTAGCAGTGATAAAAAAAAGTAAAAATAATCACTATTCTAACATTGCCCTTAAATAAAGAAAATTTCCTGTCAAATTTTTAAGATTAAATGTTAATTAAATTAAAACATAATTTGAAGCCTGTATTCTAACTTTAGAGCTTAAGTAACATTTGTGCAGTCTGTCTTTTATATAATTTTTTAAGAAAATAAATTATAAATAAATTTTTTATTTACATAAATTAAACAGTGTGCAAAAAAAGTAAACATCCTGAATAACTCTTGATTTAATGATCAAATTTACAGACACTAGGATTTAATCTCAATGATTCGTGGGCTTAACCTTTAATAAGTTAATTAATTAGTGAAGATAACATTTTATTTTATAAAATCAAATACAAAATCACGCTTTTTCAGAATAAAAATATCTTTGGGGTGGATTCTAATTCTTGAATTTAAAATATGGGGGTTGAAGTAAGCTCGAAAATAAAAACCGAATAACAAATTGTTCGCACATGATTATAAAACACGTTCATCCAAAGAAAACGATACATAGAAAATTATTTATAATTATTTACTATTTTTTTAATAAAGAGTTAAGAATTTTTTAATTTTAATGAATTTGAATTTTTACACTAGTACTTAAATCCATTTAATTATTTTTAAAATCCAAAATCGAAAATTTGACGGAAATTAGTAGTTTATAAGTAAAAATGTAAAAGTACGACTTCTTTGAGATGGCACAAATAAGTAAAAAGCGAAACTAACATTAAGGGGTGAAAATGCTCGACCATTCTCATCAAATTATTGGGGAAATATTTTCTAAATTGCAACTACTCAGACCCTGTTTTGAGTGACAAGAATCTGAATTTGTCAAAAAAAAGTATTTTTTTAGTGGAAGTATATTTTTGTACCTGATTTCGTAACTTAAAATATCATCTGTATTAATAAATCAGCATAATTACCCACAGCAAATAGATTCTGCTGTGATTAGACCCCTCGAACCATTGAGTCCTAGCATTTGAAAATCCAATCATTAAATCAAAAATTATTCAGGGTGTTTTTTTTCCTGTATAAGGAATTAATAATTTTATATAAATGGAGAAAATTACTCTAGACAAAGTGGAGGAGAGCTGAGTCATAGTTTTGTTGAAACTGATGTATTTAAAAACTTTTATCCAAGCGATGAAAATATCTACTGCTATAGCATTATTATACTGCATTTGCCAGAATCCTAAAAACTCGAAATCCGGGAAAATGTCCGGTTTACTCAAGAGTTCTTCCAGCATATTATCAACCACTATTGTTCTTAATGCAGAAAAGGCTATGCAAACCAAGGAAACCTGAAAAGAGAATAAATAATTAAACTTTTTCTACATGAACAAACTCATTTGGTTCATGAACATTATGTAAGGTGTTCTTTCATAACCAATCTTATTATATCTTTGTATAATCTTAAAAAATATTTCATTAAGAAGTCACGAAATAGTATTGTAATGAGTTTGACCTATTGATATAGTTAAAGCGAAGGTGGGAATTAATTATTATTTGACCGTGAATCCGAATAATAAAATTTTTAGTACATTTAAAAACAGGCAGAATATAACATTTTTGTAAGACCTTAAGGCCTAAAAAATTTATATTGTATGAAAAACATATATTTCATGAATAAAAAACATATTTTCTTTAAAAATTTCTTTTTTTTTGGTATTTGATATTTCATTGAAAGCAGAAAGTGGTCAAAATGTCATTTGAAGATAACTTTTATTTTCAACAATCATGAATCATACTGTGTATGGCAAAAAGCTCCAAATGGAATAAGAGCACTCTAGCTAGTTGGAAATTAATCGAAATTTAGATTAATGAAAAATTATATTTGGTGATAAAATGACAACAAAAGTTCTGCTTGTATTGGTAAGGAAACGATTAAAAAGTGTATTGTTTTCCAGAGCAAGTAGGCACATAACTAATCAGAAAGTCATTAAAATTTCGATTAATCATAAAATCTGGTTGCACAAAATGATTAAAACTTGGTAAATATTTAATTATAAATTATTGTATTATGTAAAAATTTCAATGCTCTAGCTAGTCGGAAAGTAGTTGAAATTCCGATTGAAAGATTTCACACTCACTCCTTGACAAGAAATGGGGTAATAAAAATTTAGCAAAAAAATATCCTCAGTGAAAGTTGAATGCATTTTAGCATTATTTGACAAAAGACTGGGTTTTGATGGTTTTAATTCCTCCCTTGCTCTTATCCATATTAATGTTGTTTTATTCTGATTAAATAATGTTTTGTTTTTTTCTGAATATTAATTTGCAGTCTAATGTAAATTTTTTTTTGCTTACATTTTTATAAAGATTTTAAAAGTATTATAATAAAAGCATGGATTAAAAAACATCTTGTACTCTTTAATGATATAAGGTAAACTATATGCAGTGATTTCAATTCTAAGATTTACGTACCAAAATAACCATAAGATCAAGAATATTCCAAACTTCAGAAAAATAGGAGCAGCCATTTTTCTTGATCTGTACGAAAATGACATATATTATTTTTCTTTCATTTTAAAACAATTATTTATTTAATGAAAAATAACCAACAAAATTAAGCTATTAATAATCATAAATAATTACTTCGAGGGACTCTTCAACGATGTAATAAAGAATGAAAAGAACTATTGTAACTTCACAAGCCATAATGAAATAATCATATGGATTGACATATCTGAGTAGTTTCACAGTTCGAAAACTCCAAGATGGAATCATACCCCCCGTGGCTGGAAATTCAAAACATAATCTGAAAATAAAAATAAAAATAAACTGTGGTACAAACAAATAACTTTAAAAATTTTGAACTGTTGAATGAAAACTATTTAATATTATAAAATGAAAACTATAGAATTAAAGTGTAGAATTGAATAAGTAAAATCTTATAATTCTGCATCCATGTTTACATAAAAAATTTAAAAAAAAGCTTCATATTAGTTTTACAGAAAACTTTTTAAATAAAATTTTTCAAATAACAGAGCAATTGTTAATAGTTCAATAGTCGCAGGTTATGGCACTGCACATTGTGAAGGCCGGAGTTTTATCTCTGGTGTTGGCTTGAAGCCCACGCAGCTTCAGATGGATTGGTACAAGTGTGTCTGAGAAGTAAAAATGGCTGGTGCGCAATACAGGCCACAGTGCCGCTATCATGCCGTTTATCTCGAAAATGTGAAAACTTCACTTCCATGACCTGCTTGGCTTTGTCCCAGGTGTTGGGTTGAAGCCCACGCTGCTTCAGCTTGATGAGTATTGGTTTGTCTGGGAAGTAAAAGCAGCTGGTGCGCGATACACATCACAGTGGCATTATCAGACCATTTATCTCGAAAATGTGAAAGCTTAACTTCTATGACCAGTAAGTAAAAGAATACAAAATATTTAATTCTATAATATCAGAACTTTCTTTGAAAGAAACGAGCAAAGCAGCAGAATTTTCAGAAGAAAGAATAATTGAAGCAATAAACAAAAAAGAGAACAATGGAAATAAAAATATGGCCACTGAAGCCGACGTCTTCAGGGGGTACCAGCTCCGGAAGACATTAAACAAAACCTTTTCTATTGAGAGAGCCAGACAAATGTCAAAATTTGTACCCTCAGTACCCCGAAGGTTTTGCAAAAGTCTGGGAAAAATACAAGAAATACATAAAATCAAATCAGAAAAGAAATTTCAAACAAACCCTTGAGAATATAATAAAAAAATGAAGTTATTTTTGTAGGGCTCAGTTCAGTTTTGCATTATTATATTCTCAAGATTTTGTTTGAAATTTCTCTTCTGATTTGATTTTATGTATTTTTCCTGGACTTTTGCAAAAAATTTGGGGTACCGAGGGAGCAAATTTTCGACATTTGTCTGGCTCTCTCAATAGAAAAGGTTTTGCTCTATGGCTTCTGGAGCTGGTCCCCCCAGAAGACGTCTGCTTCGGTGGCCATATTTTTACTTCATTCGTTTTATTTTTTCTTTATTGCTTCTATGACCAGCTTGGTTTTATCTCTCGTGTAAGCGTAGTACAGAGACTATAATGCCATTATTGTGTCATTTGTTTTGAAATCATGAAACCTTAATCTCCATGAACCCCTTGGTGGTCAACTAGCTGTGGTCAGAGTGCTTTACTTTACTTTTCGCAATCAGAACAATAATTCATTTCCATCTTTGTGTTAAATACTGAATATTTTTTTTTAAAAATAGTTTCTTTTATCTCCTCTATTTTTAGATATTAGTTGTGAGTAGAGTATTTTAAACAGTAGTAAGTCCTAAGAGAAATGCTTGCAAAAAAATTAAGATAGTACTTAAAGTTACTTACTTTACAACACAAAATAAGTTTAAATTAGCATTGTAAATAGTAAAATCGATCATCACTGCACGCGTTGCTCTTGAAATCCACAAATTCTGCTTAAGTATCTCCAATCGTGCCAGAGCTTGTTTTTTCGATATTCCAAGATCCCTAAAAGAGCCGGCTCCTGTATAGGTGGCTAGAAGTGCCCAGTGGTTGGAGCCATTCATTTCCTTCTCTGTGTGGTAAACCCATCTAAAGTACAATAAGAGAGAAGTAAAATAGGAGAAGTAAAGTACAAAAGGAGAACAAAAATGTTCATACATATCTAGACTATAGTAAAACAAACCAATAATTAATTTACTAGTAACTAGATACTACTAGTAAGTTATCTCAGCTAGCAAAGGATGATATGTATATAGAGAGAGGAAACAATATTTAAACTATATGAATGCTTTTTTTCTTCTAATGGCCGGCATTGAATTCTTATGTTCTTTGCCTAGGAAGATGCCGGAAGTATTACTCATTTAACGTTACCCAAGGGGCACCTGTGAACCTAAGTTACGAAGGCGAGCAACATTACCCACGCTGCACTGCCACAGATACCCGTTTATAGGGTGGGCAACATTCACACAATATAGAGCAATACACAGAGGGAAACGTCAATGCTCTGAGCCGGATTCGAACCCGCAGAGCAGTCAGGCATGCTAACCGCTCGACCATCTGGCTGGCAACTATATGAATGTAAACTTTGATAACTTTTGAGCGATTGCGAGATTCGGTTAAAAACTTGGCAGTTGAACGTGGATGTATGATGGAATATTTTTTCCAACAATAATACTCATTCTCTTGTTGGTTTTCCGATGAAAATGCAGAAATGCAACATTGTTAAATGAAAATTGATCAACAAAGCCACCCTATTCTCCCAATCTCAAGCCTTGTGAATTTTTTTGTGAGACAAGCAAAAAGAGACTAAGTTGGAGCAGATAACTCCAAATCCATTGCAGTACTGTCATTCAGGAGATCATCCAAAGTATCGCTATCTCAAAACTTCTAGCAAATTTTGCAGCATTTAACTATTTATCTGCAGCATACCACATCAAGCATGTTACACATGTTATAAACTAAATGCGTATATCTGTACACTGAGCTTTGTAAAGGATTGGGTTAACTTAAAGCCAATTCTGCTTCAGACAGATGGGTAGCAGCTTGTCTGAGAAATAAAGGCGGCATATGCGTCCCCTCAAAATCACGGAGTGTCAATCCGCATGAACCCATTTGTCCATAAAGGCTGTTCGTAAATGCTTTACTCTTCAGCTCAATGATTGTAAATAGTTATTAGTAAATAAGCTAACATAAAACAAGAAAAATTCAAAATTTTTAATACTAACGCTGATCCGTTCATTAATCCAAAAGGTTCTTGATCTTCTATATGAGGATTATACACATCATAACATTGAGTTATGGCTTTTTTGAAATCTGAATGGACATTGCAGGAATCATTACGGACCCTCAGTTGTCTAATTCGAGGGGAGCCAAGAAGCCTATTCTCGTATAATATATTCCGGTCATCATTGTTGGTTTCTTGGTCATTATACCAATTTTCCCAGTACAAGTTTTCAACCAACACATCTTTAGCAAACTGAAAATAATAAATGAAAATATGTCAGAATAGAGCAAAACCTTTCTCAAAAAATAAGCATTGCTTAAAATTATACAGATAGGTATTCATTAATCACTGCACTTAATGTATATTTTTAGAATTCTAGTCAAAAAGGAAATAATAAATGTACGCAAATTAATATCTAAGCAAAGAAGACAAAATTTAAAACTTTTAAACTTATTTAATTGCTGGAGATAAGAGAGAGGAGTTAATTTATTAAAGACACATTTAAGCTCCATCAGACAATAAAAAAACATGTTTTTTAACTTATATCCTCGCCTTCTTCAGAGGTGATAAGAAAATGTTGGTAACGTTTTTATATATTTTTCGCAAAAATATCAATTTGCGACCCTCTTTGTGTGCACTTTCGATGACTCATTTTTTCATCGGGCTCGTGAGCGATCTAGAACAGTAAAAATTGGGTTTAAAATGAAACTTCAAACAAAAAAAGGTTTTAACCTCTGAAAAACTGTTAAACACCCTCTTCGTAGTAAGTGGTAAAAAGTTGAACGATCACGCGAGTCGCTTTTAGACGGGAAGAGGAAACGAAGGAAATTTATATATTTCTTACTATACAAATGAAATTTTTTCCATGGAATTCTATGCTAAATCGATTTAAACCAAACCCGTGACACTAAGTATATTAGTTGAGAAGTCATAAGGATTTTATGTATAGAGAGTACAATTTTGTAACTGTGCGCATCTTATATGGCTATTTAGACACGTGAGGCATTGTTTCTGGGGTATGTTTTGAAGCAAAATCGAATGAGATCAAATATGAGTCAATAGGGCTATTATTTCTGAAGTTGCAAGATTATTTATATATAAAAAGTACTGATTTTGACCAGTACCTATTTCGTTTCAGACATTAATATTTAGTTACTATTTAGACCAAGAAAATATATTTCCTATAAAAAATTTTATATATGTAAGACTTTTTTAAAAATTCGATTTCTCAGGAACTATCAGACCGATTTCGCTCAAATTTTTTTATGTTGTAATGTAAAATTACTTTCTTTAAAGTTACATCAACAATTGTATACCTTACAATTCAAAAGCTTTTCGACTAATATTAAATAAAATAATAAATATTTACTAAAGTTATATTTTGCAGGGAAATATCTTTGGATAAATGAACTTTATAGTTGTGTGTAAAACTTTTTCAATCAGCTTAAAGTTTTCGAGATGTGGCGAAATAAGTAAAAAATGACATTAAAGGTCCTAACTTTGGATCGCTCTCCTGACCAAACTATTGGGACCATATTTCCTAGATTGCGGTTATCCCCTATATTTTGGGGACCAGTAATTCGAATCCGACGAAAAACAGATATATTTATCTAGAGAAAGTCCGCTAATTGTCGCATATCCTCTGATCTAATTTAATCGCATATTTGAGGTCACCCACTCTCGTACCATAAGATCGAGTCCTAGAACGTGAAGATCAGATCATCTCATGAAAAGTAATTCAGGATGGTCTGTTTTTTATGCCCACTTATGTAAAATTCTTATTACTTCAAAACTATTAGTTTCATAATCTCCGGATTAATCTCGATTGAGTCAGTAACTAACGCGCGAGGGGCAACTTTTTACCACTTATTACAGAGTTTTGGCTTGAGTCTCTTTGCCCCGTAAGGATAACCATTGAGTTTTTTTCCCCTTCAAGTAACACGAATTCGATCAGTTTTATTGTATTTTATACCCAGGGTTGAACAGTTGACCCAATTCTGAGTTTAGGACTATCAATGTTCAACACAGTAGCCTTGTAATTTCGAACCCAACCTACAAAATTCCTAGATCAAGTATTGGGAGAAGCTAATCTTTATGGAGGGCTTTTTGATGGAACTAACTCGTATTTGCGTTACATGAAGTGGAAAACCACGAAAACCTCCTACGGTTAGCCCGACACCAAGGGGATTCCAAGCCATGATCATTCTACCACTGAGGATATTTTACATCAGCACTGCGGTCGGTGCGAGCTGGATACAGAATTCGTATCGACAAGCAATTCGTATCAAAGGATTCGAACCTGGGTCACTTCATTGGCAGGCAAATGCTCCATTCCCTGAGTAATCACGGAATGATTAGTTTCATTAAAAAAAAAATTCCACCAAGGCGAATTCGTCCTATGGCTTGATCCAAAAGTTCACCTCGTCTTTGGGGTTGGGTTTAAAATTGCAAGGGCGATTGATATAGTAGCTAATCCGATATGGATTTTACACCAGGCATAAAATAAAATAAACATAAATGAAAAGAGGTCTTGACACATACTTTCCAAAAGTCAGTCATTTGAGTAGCTTCTCTCATCGATCCTGATCCATCAGCAAACGATGAATCCAAAAATAATTCACTTATCACTTTCGTTTGGTAATACATAGAGGGATTCATCATACCAAAAGTCACTGTAAAAGTAACATTTTTATGAAACTGGAACTTAGAGTATTCATGTTTGATATTCATATGCAGTTATAATGAAAGAAGCAATTGTGCAGGGTGTCGATGCCCGTAATAATTGGTTTTTCTAATCTCCGTTAAGAACTTTACAATACAAGTTTGATTCGAAGTTAAGAGTTATAAGAGAAGAGTGAGGGGGAAAAATGTTAGAAGAGTTAGAGAGGGGAAAAAAACATTATCGAAATGTGACAAATTATTATCGAGATTGAGTAGATCAGGGAGACATTAAAATAATCTTTAAAGCAGTTGATTAGCGAGAGAAGTGCTCCAAATCTATCTCAATAACGATTTTAGTCGGGAGCTGCTTTTTAATTCCTTTCAAGAAATGTATCTGCTTTTAATTATATTAAACCCTTCTTTGCTGGGATTGACATTAGTCACGATTCTTTAATTTTTGCTTATATGTTTTTCTTTTTTCTGTCATATAAGTATCAATTTGTGACCTCGAATGGGCATATTCTCTAACTATAGAAAGAATCTTAAGAATAATGATTAAGAAATACGCTGTGTGTAGAGTACAAAGTGGAAATGCTTCTTTTATTGATGATACTTACTGATTGAAAGCAGAACCAAAAAGATGATGTAAGTAAAAAGTTCTCGAAGAGTTGTTCTGACGTACCATTCTTTGTCCCCCTCCTTGCCTTTCATCTGCCGAGTGGACCATAATCCTATGATATAAAAAGAATACAGTAAAGCAGAGCACATATGTAGGAAAATAGGAATACTAAATTCCGTAAACAAAGATTAAATAAATAATAACTTGAGATTAATGAGATGAAAATTGAACCAAGTGCTTAAACTGTAATTAAATTTTCAAATGCATTTTTCATTGCAAAAATTGGAAGGCTAGTGCTCTTTTCTTTTTAGTATAGATGATGAATACCCTTATGGTATATGTGCCTTTCCCTTGTTAGAATAGGTGCATAGAGACGCATTTATTCTTAACTGTCCTTCCTCTATTGACTCGATCCTCTTAGTTCTATTAATAAATAATTTAACTGTTCACTATTCCATCATTTGCAAAATAAAATTTAAAGATATGCATTGTATTAATACAGAAAGCCAGGAAAATACCAAGTTAGATAACAAGCGCAATTTTATCGATTTCAATAAATTCAAAAGATTTCTTAAACAGCTATGATTTTAATATTTTAGAAACTGAAACTTATTTGTCGTATTCATACTTCCAAAGAAAATCAGTAGCTTAAAAAAAGAACTTTAGTTTTATCTCAGAAATAGCTCCTAAAACTGAAACAAATAACTGGATCAAGTCTGAAATGTTGTTGTGTTATTTCCAGCAATGCCAGATGAAACCAAGCGAATTTAAGGTAGACGGTGAGTTTCTTCTTTTGCAGTGGGCGCATCTATGGCCAAGAATATGACTTCATCAGCCCCCCCCCCCACACACACCACAGCTCGTTTTTAGGGCGTATCCATTCATTCATTCACAGATCTTGATTCTGACCTGAACCTGAGAACGATCAATCTTCGATTCAGTACCCCCCAAAGATATGATTTGTAATTGGAACAAGGAGGACTTTGTGACCCGACTGATTTAAAGTCCACCAGTCACCATTTACAACACTTTAACCCGCGGCGATCGAACTCACGACCTCTTGCACATGAGCCCAAAGCAATACAACCAAGCTATCTCGGCCCGTCTGCCCAGCTAGGCTTAGTCTATGATACTATCATGATATATTTTATAGTACTGTTTGTGTTTCCCAAAATATAGGGTGACTGTAATTTTTTACTTACATTAAACGACTCCCTATTTGCTACGTTTGTATGTAATATGTATTGTACTTTTGTATGTTCGGTTATATATGTCTTCCTTTTATTTGTTTGTGTAAATTTATTATTAATAACTTTTATGGTTACCATTATGGATCATGTTATCCGAGGTAACCGAAATATTTCTTGTTTGTTTATTTCTTTTCTTGTAAAAAATAATTATAATAACAATAAAATTGAAACACTGGGTAATTAAAACGTTTTGAAATAAAATAAATCAACATTTTAATGAAAATAAAAGTTTAAGGTAAAATAAGTTAATTAACTCATCATCAAAATTTGTTTTATAATTGCTGTTATTTAAGCTATAAAATGCAAAATTCTTATCAAATTAAAAACAATTATCTAAACAGTTGCTGATTGTCATGTAATTTTTCAAACTAAAATAGCAATTTTTGTATGTTAAGGAGTTACTATATATTTCTACTTTACTGTTATTGATATGTTTCAGAGGGCTCTAGTTAGATTAGACTATAATATGAACATAATGATTCGGTTCATTGTTAAAGTTATTGTTAAACCTTTATTTTGCCAAAAAACATGTATCTGGAGTTTCTGATTTGTCTGTCACAGGTTCATATTGAGACAGATTACCAATTAAGCGGCATAAGAAGTAAGAAATAAGTCTAGATTGATATTCTTTCCTTGCGCGGACATTTTAAGCATGCAAATTATCGATTAGAATCTCTTTGACGTTGAACTCGCCGTCCATTTTCCGGGTTGAATTTAAAATTATAAAGTCACGGATATGAACATTAATATACGCAAGTCTGGTAAAGGATCGACTGTTGGACGTCGGATGGTGGAAAAAAAAGTAAAGTGGAAATACTTAAGATTTTAGCTGGTAATATTTCACTTATGTGGCTTGAATGTTTTATTCAAACCATTTTTAAAATAGATCATGAAAACGGACTATAAGCTGGGGTGAAATATTCTAAGAACGGCTCTAAAAAAGTAAGAACACATTTTACATGATTCCGTAAGGTTCCGCAATTTACTTTAATTTAATCTTTTTACAGACAGGGCTTTTCGCAATGATCACAAAAATTTCGAATATTCCATATTTTTGTCGAAAATGAAAAAAAAAAAGTATTCATATTAGGGGTCGTAAACTGATATTTAAAAGGGGAAAAGCTATGGAAATATGTAGAATTACACGCAAAAAACACCTAATCTAGATTAATTGTCTGTTGAAACTCAGACATGTTTAATAATTGCCTCTGTTTCCACCAGTAATCAAACAGGTTTTGATGTTTCCACTCTTGTCTTGCTGTTCTGAAGGAAGTGATTCGTTATATTTTAATAGCATTTCCCCTTTCATTTTATTAATAAATAGCGACATCTAATGTGTATAGTTTTCCTCTACGTTTTTGACAAGGATTCTAAAAATATATATTTATTAAAGGTGGTGATTACAGAACACCTTCTACGTACGTGAGTCACTTTAGCACGTGACGAAGAGAAGGCTTTTTTTCCCATTTGTAGCTTCATGGAAATATGTTATTTCAATTTTATTTTAATGAGATACAATATACAAATTAATAACTTTTTCATAGCATTTACATTAAATCAATATTGATGAAAACAACATTTAGACTATATGATTATATAGTCAAGAAGTATTCATGCTCAATTTTTATAATTTAAAATGATTCTCGGATTAAAAATGTATGAGTTTTACATTTTTTTTAAAGTGTAAATTTATTAAAATTTAAATTTTTTTAATAAACAGAAAATATTATATTCATAGTACTTATTACAGTTTGCTGTAAAAACATCATTCAAAAATTAGTTCAAATCTATTTCAGTTTTTTGAAATTATGTCTCACTAATTAACTATAAACAAGACCATTATACATAGATAATGAAAGGATATACACTATTAATAAGTTTCCTCAAATTAAACTGGCAAAACGATAAGAAACTATTTTGTTAAAGCGATCTGGAGCGGCAGGAAGCTAAAAAAATAGGGTCCTTTTAACTTAAAAGTGGTATAAAAAATAATATAACTAATCCCCGATTATATTTCTAAAACTAAACGTAATCTGCCAGCTACAGACTAAAATAAATTGACTGCACAAATTAGCCAACAAGAAACAATTAAATCAGCCTCCATAACAAGAAAATAGAACATAAAATAATAACATCAAACAAAATTTGTACTGCAATTCAAAAATGTTTTTGTTTTGAATTCAAATATGTTATTTGTTTTTGAGATCACTTGGTTGGTATTTAAGTTATCTCTCTTTCAGAAAGGGGGAAAAAATAAATTAAAATCAAGAAACATTTATCTTTTACAGTGAAATCTGTCAAGTTGACAGCCTGTTAAAGAAGTCCTTTACTATTATCGAGGATCGAATTCATTTCATAGAAACCGAAAGGGAGATAAACCTTAGTAACATGACCATCTGTCTATCTTAATGTTTGTATGTGAACCGCTGAAATAAATCCAATTTATCTATTAGTCTTATTAAATGCTATTTTAAACCTCTCGTAAGTTGGCCATAAAAACAAAATAAAAGAAAGAAAAAAAATCCTATTTAGTCATATTTTTATGCAATTATATTAAGTATTAACCTAAACAAAACAACAAAAAATAACTAAAAGCCCTTTGGGACTTGACCTTAAAAATTAATATTATGGACTTTTTTTCTGTTTCGTTCTGTATTGGAAAATAATCTTATTTTGTAAATATAGCAAAATCTTAAAATTTTGAAATAAAAAAATAATTTTAAGTTTTCTCAATGAATAAATTCCCGCGCACCAACGTTTTAAGAAATATTTTATCCTATAATAAATATGTAGCATGCTAAAACATCAAATATGCATTTCTTTTATTTATTAATTAAAAGAACAAATTAATTTATCAAGTTTAAAGCAAATTGTCGATTTATTCTGACAGCTAACAATTATTACTTCTTTGCAATTATATAAAGTATTAACATACGCAAAAAATAACTAAAAGCCCTTTGGGACTTGATTTTAAAAATAAATATTACGGGCGTTTTTTTTTTTTTTTTTCGTTCTGTGTAAAAAAAATTTATTATATTGTCAGTATTAATTACCTTATTATTATCTACATTAATTATTATAATATATAAATTAACTACTCATCTAAGTTGTCCTCAAAGTAATGCACCATAAGTGTCCAATTTGCTAATTTCACTGCATCAGGAAATAAATAGTTTGATTGCAATAAACTATAAAGGCTATGAAGCACCGAGAAATGTGTAAGCCTTTAAATTATGAGACCATCGATTCATGTATTATGAATTTTATTTTCATTCGTTTTTTTTTCAATTTCTACATCATTCTCAACTTCTCCCATACTTTTTTAGTTGTACAGTGCGCAAAATAATAAACGGAACTCCACGTTCTAGGACTCAATCTTAATGGCTCGAGTCGGTGATCTTAATTATGCTAATTAATTAGTGTAGACGATATATTAAGTTACAAAATCAGGCACAAAAACGTACTTTATCTGAAAAAACATACTTCTTTTTCAACGGAGATTCCGATTTCTGACTCCGAAAATAAAGGGAGTAGTTGAAATCTGGTAAATATGGTCCCGATATCTAAGTCAGAAGAGCGGTCCAAAGTTTGGACTCCTTAACTTTTATTTTTTGCGTATATCTCGAGAACTTTTTAAGCAAATTGAAAAAATTTTGCACCCAATTATAAAATTTATTTATCCGAAGGTAATTTCATGGAAAATATAATTTTGAGTATATACTTATTGTTTATTATTATTTTATTTCATGACAATCGAAAATTTTTTGAATTCAAATGTATAAAATTTTTTGCATCATTTTAAAGAATGCAAATTTAAATGGCAAAATGCAAAATTTGAACGAAATCAGTCGAATAGTTTCTT